CGCCTGTGTGGATCCTCGTGTGGATTTTCAGTTTGGACATCTTATTGAAAGCTTTCCCACAGGTGTCACATTTAGACAACTGTTTACCTGTGTGGGTATTCAGGTGAACCTTTAACATCGTAGAGTTACATAAATCACTACTGCAGCTGCTTCTGTTTAGGCGTCTTGTTTTGGGTTTCGGCTCTGCATCTCTCATCCTGCATGATGGTCGTGAGAGAGGAGCTCGTGGTCACTGTTTGGTTCTGATACACTGCAGCTTTGAACTATGTTGAGTGGAGGCTCTCTCTCTGTTGCACCGAGGGTTTCATCAGGGTTCAGAAGCAGGGTCTGGACCTCACAAGTTAGAATCAACATAAAGGTACCCCACCCCTGACTGCGGCAGAGTTCCTCCTGTTCCTCTTTAATCTGTGGAGGATCTGGGTCCTCTTGGTCCTCACCGGAGTTCCTCTCCATGTCACACTGTTCAGGGAGATCCTCGTCCTCCTTACAGACATGTTGCTGTAGGAGGTCTGGAGGGAAAGGGGAGACATACAGTAGGTTACTAGGGTGATTGTAGACATTTAAGTAGTGTGCTGGGACTAGGAAAGTGTATTTCATTTGTATTTTCTGATCTGAAATTAATGCCTTAATAGTGGCTTCAAAAATGGCAGTATCTTTATTAAAGTGACTTAGTAATGATAAATCACTCTCATGTACAAATCATACATCAATGGTAGCCACAATTTAAGCACAATCCATGACGATGAAGATGTAGAGAAATAGAAATTCATAATCAAACCATGGGGGATGTTATATGAGTCTAATTTGTTTTTAAAAGATGATTTAGGTTTCACACAACTATCCTGTGTAGCTGTACTTTGGTTTTCAGACGATGGCCAACAGTGTGCGCTGTCGCTCGATCTCTTCTTCGTACTCGATGATTCGTTGTTTGAAGACTCCTAATATTTCCTCCTCCTCCGCAGCAGCAGTTAGTCGCTCGTTCACAAACTCTCTCAAAGTCTCAACTGAACACATCGTTTGTTTACTTCTCCTTAATAACCAGATACACCTGCAGACACAGCGAGGAGCGTAACCTCTGTTTACTTCCGCTGGGTGTCACAATGTTTGGTTTCCGACAGCGGACACGTGTGGAACCTCAAAGTGTTTAATATAGAGCAAATGGGTAAGTAATTATTAAATAAATAGTCTTATGACTAAACTGTGTTACATATTATATAAAAGAAACAATGCTTTTCGAATTATACTCAGAATTAATGTTATTTAATTATTCTTATTCGTATAGGAGTTTTGTTTTTATTCAATATTAGACTTTGGTTGTTCCTCTGAGACAGACACACACCTCGGTGAAGATTTGAAACATAAGTCTCTTTCTGTGGTTGTTTAAATCAACAAGACCTGCCTACCTATGGAAACATGGACTCATATCACTCTGATGCTGAGTAAAAAGCTCACAAAATGTCCCAGTTGGCCAGCAAGGTAGGCAGCCTGTGTAAAGCTAATGTTGAAAAGCTGAAGGGTAACTGTGTGTGTGTACTGCCTTTATTTACAGCAGCAGCCTTTAGTTGGTGGATTCAGATTAACTGTGTTGTTTCTCTTGCCCAGAGGGGCCAACTGGCTCAATGTGGTAGCAGAGGGTATGTAAACACAGGGCTCCTGGATGATGTAACAACCCTGCAGGTTTATGACCACCACCTGGCATGGCAAACTGGTCTCAATACTACACCACCCATGAGCCATCGCTGCTGTAGCCATGGAGAAGAGGCCAGTTGAAGTGCAATTTGTTATAATTGAGGGTAAAACATGGCGCCCTAGTTGCTGAATTCACCAACATTTGACCCAGAATTTAAAAGTGAATTCATACATTGAGGTTAGTGCACAGAGTTTCTAATCCTTTGTAATAATGATTTGACTGAGAGAGTTTCAGGCCCTTTCAGAGCTGTAGAAGTGCCTCAACTGTGAGTCACATACTGTAACATTGATAATGGCAATAATGAAAGGGACTTTTACTTCTGGATCCAGGGACTCACACTTTGCAGCTCATGAAAAGTGACCATCAACCAACATAATAAGTGCATGCATGGAAACCTTCTTTTTAATGGCCATCAGGGGGCGATTCTGCTGGTTGCAAAAACAAGTTCTATTATATGGAAGTCTATGAGAAAATGCCCCAATTACTCATTTGATTAAACAGTTTCCTAATGTGTTCATGGTCTCAGTCATAGGTTTAAAGTCTTCAATACAGGCTGATGTTCATTATGTAAATTATGGTCCCATTTAGAGCAAAATAGACTCTAAAGTAGCTACCATAGTGAAACCACAGTGAAAACTAAAAGTGTCTTCAGGTTCTCACTTCTCAGCTAGATCAACCATTTCTTCCTCCCCAGCTGCACCCTCTTAACCAAATATGGTCACTCCTGGCTCCGAATAAACAAGATTGTGACGGCCATAATGCCAAACTTAAGGCTTCAAAGCAGTATAGTCCACCACAGTTGCTGCGTCCATTTGTATTAAACAGTATATTAAAGTGACATTACATTGGGAAAAATGCCAGTATAAATTAAAGTAAAGTTAATATCTGTCTGTACCCTAATGATATAAAACTGTTAGTATGAACGTGAGTAATATACAAATTGTTGGTTAACTCATATATGTTTGTTCAAATAATTATTTTAAAAGAACATTTGGTTTGGACTGAAATATCTCTAACAATTACAGGATGGAAATATTGTACAGAAAACTGCCCAGAGGATGAGTCCTGTTGATCACTGACCTTTCCTAGCACCACCATGAGGTTGACATTTGTGGTTTTGAGTGACATTTGGGGCATTCATGTCCCATTCAGGATGGATTGTAACAACTTTGGTTATCCTTTAACTTTTCATCTAGCACCACCATCAACTCAGTATCTGAATAGCCATGTTTCTACACTAGCCCAGAACAGACAAACCAAATACTGGTTCTAGATAGGGCCACTATTGTTTTTTCCTACATGCTTGGAACAGGAGGGTAAGGTGAGAATCAGCAGCTACACCACAAGATACCACTGAATTCTTTAGTTTTTTCTCAGCCCTGTAACCCCAATATTGAAAATCGTTTTCATCATGAAGTGAAAGCACAAAAACATTTAGTCAGTAACGGTGATATTTGGACATCACCGTTGCAGTGCTATAACCTTTAACTCTTTTGTGGGTACTGTACCTAAATATAAAAGCAGACATTTCCCCTGTGTTCTGTAAAACCTGCCTGAGATGCACTGCATTGTTTTGCGTATATGTGGCCCTTCTTCTCCCCATTGTGTATAATGAGGGTATTTGATGATGTGTGGCTGGTGTAATTAAGCCAGTGAGTTTACAGCAGAGGGATTGCACCCAACACCATTCAAGTCATAAACACAAGCAATGATGTGAGATAATGGGTTCACACTGTGGTAAAAAAGAAAAATGAAAAGCTCACCCAATCAGTAGAGTCTGTTGTGGTTTACTTTAAAAAACAGCCAACAGAGAAGGTTGCAACAAACCAGCCATTGCTTAAAGTTAAAGTGCATTAGGCAATATCTTTCAATTATTTCATAACATTTTATGTACAGTAGCATGTGGGATCTAAATGTACTAAGTTACATTCTGCACCCATTGCAAACAATGAGCAGTAGTGGCCATAATGTTAACATGTAGATAAGATCTTGTGGTTTGAGCTCAGTGCTCTGTCTCAGGCAGACTTCAGTTTCCACCTGTAGGTTGTTTTGTGCATTTTATTTATACATTTACAACATTATTAGGTTTTGGAGTGCCTTAAAGTTGTTCCTGAGTGGAAAGGAAACAATCACAATTACAAGCACAACCACATTCAAACTGACATGAGGAAGTGCTGCCTCACATGAAGCTCTGCGCATTTTGTGTTTTTGCTCAGAGGGAAATGAAACCTTTCTGTGGCCGCAGAGGAATAACTACTCTTGGTCATTACCAGCTGCCTCGGCTCACCACTCTGTTTCTGTCCCACCGATGAGAACATAAAGGTGCTGTAGAACTTACGGCTAACAACAAATTCCTGGCAGGGAAGAGAGTTTAAATATTCAGAGATGGGTTTTGGGGAGGACCTGTGGTGCCCCCAGGCACATGCATCTGTCATGCGGCTGCTGGACTCAGAGCTTCACCTGATGGAGGTCATGAAGAAGTGGATGGGTCAGCGGGCTAAGAGCGAGCGGGAGTTTTCAGTGCAGCTGCACCACATGGCTGCCATGGTGGAGAAGCTGGACCGGCCTCAGCTCGGTGCAGGACTGGACTACATCAGCCAGCTCAACAAGGTGAGGTCACTCTGCTCCTGATTCATCAACTGATCATTTTAATTTATTTTATTTTATTTTATTTTTAATTATTTAAAAATTCTAAAACAAATAGGATCAGCATTTCCGATAAAGAATTTATCTCATTGTCTCACTGAAATAGACCTGCCTCCATCAAAACTTTCATTATTGCAACATAAAAATGCTGATAGACTGAAATATCTGATAGAATTATGCACTAGGTTATATTTGGAAGTACTTCCCTAAAAATTACACATGATTGAAAAATAAAAAAATCCATATATGTGACTGCTAAGGACTCATTGAGTGCGTTTGGGTGTAATATGCAAAATACACTGTATATGAACGGGCAAAAGTTACCCAGAGTAAATCTGTAAAAGTAGGTTTTTCTCTTTGAGGGACTACATGGCAATAATCCTGACCAAACCTTTTTCCTCATTGTTATTATTTAAACTTATTTAAATGTTTCAATATGTTATCAGATACAAATAAGAAAGTACTTTGCAGCGCACATACTGTATCCTTCCACTTCGACGGGACAACCTTTAACTTTGATACTTTAATAATAAAAAAAAATGTTTAGAAGTTTTTATTTGCAACCAGTAAAATCTAGTAAAAATATATTGTTGTAGTGATACCTGTAGATCAAATGCCAATAAGCTTTGATTCAATTTTAAATTTACTTAACTTGATCATATGCTTAAATTAATTTTGACAATAATGAATATGTCTAATATTGTGTAGGCTGTTACGTGTGTGGAAAGTATAAATAGGTGCAAGTTGGACCAAAGAAATCCTGGAAAGCAACAATTTTATTTCTGCTCCTCACAGTTTAAGAGTCATGAGCCAAAATCCTAAAGATTGTTTTTTTAAATAACCAATTGGTGGCTCTATCCATGCCAAAAACGACCAGTTTGTTTTTGGCCTGTGGTCTGTTATTGAGATGTATTGAGAATTTCTAAGATAAATTGCTTAGTAAGAAACAAACAGACAGATGCAGATCCAAATAGAGGTTAAGACTTGTGAAGCTTTGGCTGGGTTGTGTGTTATTAATTGAGTTCCACTTGTTTACGTTCTTTGTTTGAATGCCCTCCCGACCTTTGTCCCACGATCTGTCAGTCATGGGGAGTGCTGGTCTCTCAGACGGACTTTCTGAGCCAGGTGATGAAGAAGTGCTCCGAGGATCTGCTGGACGGTCCCATCAGCAAACTGACTCTGCTCATCAGAGACAAACAGCAGCTCCGTAAAACCTACTCAGAGCAGTGGAACCTGCTGAAGCAGGAGCTCAACAAGGTGTGTGACTCATTGTTGTCCCTTAAATTGACACAGACAGACAACAAACATACACAAGAAAATCTAACTAAATACTAAACAAATATGTCTTGCTTTTATTCTTAAATGAAACAGCTTTGTTTGCATGTTTAACCCTTACAAACTGTTCATATCCAATGCCTTCACAGTATTTGACCTAGTCCAAGAAATTCCTCATAAAAAGTGTCTATACCATATTTTGAACTACAGATCTAATTAGAATATGTAAATAGCCCTATCTTACATTTCAAATACATTCATTATTAATCCTTAATTTATGATTTTAGATTAGCCATGAGAGTGCTATTTTTAGGTTCTTAGACCCACTTTAGTTTTTGGGAGAAAAAACACCTACATCACACTATATCATTCTGTTATCCATCGCCTAAAGACATGAAAACATAACAAGCCATAATGATGTCAATGCCATAAAGAGGGTGGCCAATTTTGCTTGGGGTCCTGCGAGCTCATTCGATGACATTTCTGGCCCAAATTTTTTTTTTTTTTTTTTTTTTTCTCCCTGAAACTTGCTGTGAAAGTAAGGACCAACAGATTGGCATTGTTTTTTTGACATAAACGTTTCTCTTGCTGCCCTTTGCCTCCCTCTCCCTTAGAGGCATCGTTCATTCAGATTTGGCTGTAATCAGAGATTTCCTCTGGTTATCTTGCTCTGCACATTTCCTCCTCCAAAATCTCCTTCATCATAGAAGATCTTGCGGTCAAGGGCACCCTCTGTAAAAGATGGAGTCTAGCTGCCAGACCTCTGCCTACCTCTGGCCCACTGAAAGGCAGCTCTGGTAACCTATTATAATCTTTATTTTACCCCCACCCCAAACACACACACACACACACACACACATTGATTTGATTCTAATTTGTCTATTTTTAGATTATCATTGTTGTTACAATTGCAGCGTGCAGTACAGCTGGCAGATGCAGCATACCCTTGTGCACAGTCTTCTGTGTGCAAGCCACACGAGGCAAAATTGTAGCACCTGTTGCAAAAGAAAACATTTTTTTAAATATTTTTTAATTTTTGTATGTTTTGGGTCCTTTTAGGAAAAAGCTCATCAAAATTTCAGGTTAAAAGAATGACATGTAGGGTATTTTTACTGCTGTCAAATGTCAAAACGGGTCAATTTTGACCCGAACAGTATGTAAGGGTTAAGCAATGTTACATATCTCAGTTGTTATGAAACGATCCTTCATTTATTTTGCAACCACTGCTGGACTTTCAAAATGGTTGAGCAGAAAAGTAAAGGAGTTGTTTCTTGTCATTACCACAATCTTGTCATAATTCTGGATGCAAACAACAAATGAAACTAACTATTACTATAATATGTACATAAAACGTGATGGTCACAGTATTAGAGTATTCATAAATATGATGTGGTTCTTCATGTAGAACTTGTTGCTTTTAAAATCTATTTGTTGATTTTTCTCATGGGTATCATCTTGATATGAAGATGAGCATTTTAGCAGCAGCTTTATAAATAGACAACAGTCAAATGAAATGAGGTTCACTTGGCTGGAAACAGTGTCTGAGTTGATGCTATCACAAACTGGTGGCTGCTCGGCACTATTTTAAGTACCCAATTAATTTTCTTACTTTACTCTGCAGACGAAGCTCATACGGCTTTGGGTTTGTGTGCATTGCTGTGTGGTTATAAAATAGATAGATTTTATTGTGTTGCAACTGAACAACAATGTCAAGAGACATGCTATCAGTTGTAGTTTTGAAGTATTACGACCAGCAGCACAACAAAGATCAGATCATTTCCTCATAAGTCTTCTCTCATGTTTCTTGTTCCTCTTCAATGAAACATAAAAGGCCACTATCCACTTCCTGCGTTATGTAGTGCATATGTGCTTAGTTAGGCAGCTTTTAACCACACAAATAACACCCCTGAGTAACAGCCATGTTTGAACAGAATACTTTCCATCTATTTATGTGCTGTTTGTGCATCTGTGTGCTGCTTCAGGTGACCCAGACAGAGCTGGAGAGGCTGAAGAGCAGCTACAGACAGGCAGCCAGAGATGCAGCTCAGGCTAAGAGGAAGTACCAGGAGGCCAATAAAGGTAGGGATCCTAGTATCACTTACTTCTCTAAACAGAAGAAGTTTCACACTGGTGGCCCAGTCTGGCTTTATTTCCATACTGTGTAAGCCTTATATGTGTATTTCCATCATGACAAAGTCCCCTCCCTTTTCCTGTGTGCAGATAAAGATCGAGACAAGGCTAAAGAACGCTACGTCAAGGCTTCACTGAAACTCCACCAGTTGCATAATGACTATGTGCTGTCTGTGCGAGCTGCTCAAGTTTACCATCAGCACCACTACAGTCAGATCCAGCCCGCCCTACTCAGTGCACTACAGACTCTGCAGCAGGAGATGGTGCTCATACTGTAAGATCACACACACTACAGTGGTTCTATTCACGGTGTTTCTGTGTACACTTAGTAGATTGATTTCCATTTACTCACAATAAATATTAGAGAGGAATGCTGACCTCATAAGCACATTTTAATTATACCTCAGTTAATTTGTTTTCACCTATTAGACACAAATCAATTTCCAAACATTACTACAACAACATTTTTTAACTTTCAGGCAGCCATTTGTTTTGATTAATGTCACAACAATACTTTAAACAATTTGCAGAGAGTTGTTGCCTGAGATAGCTAATGCAGTCCAGAGAACAACAATATTTATAATAAAATCATTATGTTAATGATATTTGGTCATGTATTGAGAGTGCATATGGTGTGAAGATTAATTGCATTAAATGTTTGAGAGCCAGCTGTCAGATATCAGATGTCACAGCTTGTTTGGCAACTGCGTGAAACTTCATTACAGCTGTAATGAGCAATGAAGCAAATCTGACAAAAATGAAAATATCTGAATAATGACTGTGATGCACTGCTTATCTCTCAAAGTAGATTCTCATAGTACCGATATGAATCAACTAACCAAACTGGATTCTTCGGTTGTGTTTTAGAATAAAGCAAAAATTTAATTCACTGTATATGTGGTTTGAACAATAGGCTACCATCTGTGTATTTTGTAATATTCTGTTTTCATGTTCCACCCCTGACATCTAACCCAGAAAGGAGATCCTGCAGGAGTATTTCGACATCTCCACTCTCCTCCATCATGAAGTGGTGCGGATCCACAGGGAGATGTCTACTGCTCTAACTGCCATCGACCCTCACAGCGAGTACGAGAGCTTCATCCACCAGAACAGGTATACTGAGGAAAAAACCTCCCCTCAGATGGCAACAATGCAATCATGAAAGATAACTCTGCAGAGCAATAATATTGTGGACTGTGTTTGTGTTTGGAGGTCTGTAGGGGAGATTCCTGCTTGTGCAGAGTTTGATTGCAGTCTTCTGGAGGAAACTGAGCAGCTAAAACCCAGAGAGATTGAACTTAACGATCTCACGCTTGAGACAATCCAGCACAAGTGAGAACAAACAATGCAATCTCATCCAAATGACTGAACTCTAATTTCCTTTTTTAATGTCTCTCAACTACTTCCTCCTCCTTACCGTCTCTGTTCTGTTTACCTCTTGTTTCCTTGTTTTGCATCAGTTACTTCCTCTCATGTTTTTTCTCTGTCTCCTTCTCCCAGACTGACTGCGGTAGAGGAAGAGCTGCTGGATCTGGCTCGGACAATGAGCTCCCAGCAGACCTCGGTGGAACAGCTGGAGCTGGAGCTGGAGGCGGAGCAGGAAGGTGTCAAGAAGGGCCAGAGGTTAGGGGATCACAGACAGGAGCCAGAATCAGTGATGTTCTGATGTTATGTTTAGAGGTTATAGAGGATGTTTCAAAATAATAACCCTGCGTTTGGTAGCTGTGGAGACAAATTACTGAAGTTTGCCTCAGTGGGCAGTCCTTCCCATCGGGAGACTTCAGTGTGCTCTTGGCTGGGCAGCAGCTAATAACTAGCGTGGTCTCTGGGGGCTGTAAGTGCCTCATGAATTATAATACAGCGATATGTAAGAGTTATGGAGCTTGATTTCCTAATTTGTCTTGGTTGATGGGGTTGTCTGAAGGTGTTAGAGGTTTACGGTCCTTTGAGAGTGAAGGAGTCATTAACAAGCTCCTGGAAACAATGTGTTTATTTGCAAAAAGTTGATACCTTCTAAGGGCAGCTGGGGAGCACATATGGTGGTGGTGTTAGTGAGGTGAGTAGTGGTTATGCTGCCCTTCATTCTGTAGTTTGTAGAAACATTTTGTAAATCAAAAGTGACTGCTGTTTGAGGTTGACCTAGTGTAACTTTACTTCTCCATAACTCTGAGATCATTTCAGAGGCTTTCATTGATGAAACATTTTTCATTCAGATTGATTTTTAAGGGGTTTTTTTTGCTTACAGAAACTTGGTCAGGCAATAGCACGTTGGTCGACACAAACTTTACAGTCAACAAGACATCAACACTTCTTGTCCCTTTTGGTTTAAGAAATAGTTTTTGGGAAATATACATGTATTATTTTTTAAATGCCATTTGTATGGTAAATATAAGGCTACAGTAAGAAGCAAGTTAATTTAGCTCAGCACAAAGACAGAAACAGTTAGCCTGACTCTGCCCAAAGGTTTACCAAAACCTGCCTGCCAGCCCCTCTACATGTTACTAATCCACACGTCATATCTTGTTTGATTAATCTGTACAAATACCAAAGTGTATGTGCTGTGTATACTGTGAATGGGAATTTGGAGATGAATGTCAATAGGGGTCCAAAAGGAAATATTTGCCCTGCTACCCTCTAACAGGTTAATCCAGCCATGCACTGATCACTTCATTTGTGTGTTTATTTGCTATAAAGATCACAGCAATCAAGCCCTTGCTCATTTTTAGAAATCTTGTTCATCTCGCTAGCAGGACTCTTGGGTCATTAAAGGTTTACTGGTCTTATTTGCTCCAGAATGAAGGCTGAATTAGCTGTCGCTAAATAAGCCTTCTTATTGATTGCATTAGTCAATAGGAAGCATCTGTAAACCTCTTTGCACTGACAGCTTTTTTTATTGATGTCTGTGTGGTCTTGTACTGTCTATTTACGTCACTTGTGTTGTTTTATTAACTTTGTGTTGTGTTTTCCTTCCCTTACTTTGTCCAGGGTCTACCTGTTCAGCAAGAGACACGCAATGGAGGAGTGCCGGCAGCAGGTTGCTCTGTCTCAGGGTATGAGAGCCAAGCTGGAGGTCCAGAGGCTTCTTCTAAAGGAGAAACTGGACCAGCTGGGCTCCAGAGAACCTCCCTCTGCTCTGAAGCTGGACCCAGACTCTGTCTCACATTCTTCCAGCACAAGCAGTGTATGTTGTCTTTGCCAGTGCCTCCCTTCTTTGTCTTTGTTTAGCTCCTATAAGTATCAGTATCAGTCAGACAGGTTTAAAAAAGTGGTTGTCTGTTGTATACTCAAAAAACAAGCCATGGTATGAGGAAGAAAGATGTAATGTTGGAGCATAGACAATTGAAACTAGTTTTGATGTGAAGAAGAAAGAGATCATGTTGGTATTTAAACTCAAAGAACCAGTCCTTCTGTCTTTTTGTATGTACCTCAGCTTGACCTAAACTCACAGAATGACTTACTAAATCTGTCTACATACTGTTTTGTACTGGAGTCATGAAGTCATGGTTATGTAAGCCTCACGTCAAGACTAACAAGTTCCAAGTCAAGCCCATGTCCTACACTTCCACATTTTGGATCCAAAACAGTTCATTATGGAAAATGAAAAAACTTGACACCCATCAATGACAGAAAGCTAATGTCAGACATTGTAGTTTGCTTACTTAGTTTTACAGACAAAATTTTGACTAAAGTTTTTGTAACCACACTGGCTGTGTAGTGATTAACACCAGCTCTTAGCTAACCCCACATTAACTTGACCCGTCGCTTGCCAAAGAACAATGATGCAAGACCTAATTTACTGATTTTTGTGCAATCTCTAATTTTGTGCAAGTCATAGAGGTCATAGAGCTTGTAGTGGGGCTGTTGACTGTTTTGTGCCAAATTTGTGCCTTTAAAATGACTTACATTCAACTCATGTGACTTCAAATCTGTCTTTTCAATGAATAAATTAACCCATAATGACAACCAATCTTTCTTTACCACTAAACAACTGAACAATTCTTTCTTTTATTTGATGATAACAGTAGAAATTATTTTTTTCAGGACCACAGCCAGACCTCTTCTAAACTCCTCATGGAGGGGATCATAAACAATCTGAGTGGCCTGTTTAAGCCCAAATATGAGGTAGGTTAAAACTGAATTATAATAAAGGCACAGTAATTAGAGATAAATAAACAGATTACAAGTGGTAACACATTGTACACAATTTCCAATATCTATTTCTCAGTATGTTGTTAAAGGACATGTAGGGAGGACATTTATTCTAGTTGAAGGACACTTCCCCTTCTCACTCTTCTACCTCCTTAAATTTGACTGCAGTGCCTGTTTTTGTACACTCAAACCTCTTAACACACAACAAACAATTCATCATATTTGGGAAAAAGTGGCAGAGTTTGAACCCACGCAGCTGAGCTCAATCAGGAACATGATCTTTCTCTGGGGTCTCGTGCTCCTGCAGGCATCATTGGTCTTATGGAGGTCAGCTTTGTCAGTTAAGTTACTGTTTTCTAAATTCTGGCTGACCTAAAAGAAAGTTTACTCCTCAGGCAGCCAGTTTATCATTTTATCATGGCTGACAGATAATAGCACATACAGCTGTCCTGCACACAAATTCTCAGTAGTCAGTCTTTCAGTTTTTAATCTGTCAGAACTGTATGCATGATGTAACAGAATATCTTGAGCAAATACTATTTTACTGTCTACAATTCACTGGACTTCAATCCTAAATTATTTGCTGCTTTTCTTTTAAGTGTGAACTACTGCTCTCCAACTCCCAACTATGTGGTACCCTGGAGGCATTGAAGGTGTTGCAGTTAGACTTTAAAGTATTACAGACTGTTCTTTGAAATATATCCAGATAATCTCTGCAGAATCACCCTAAAACCCATTCTCTTTTACTTCTTATTGTTTCATTATTCATGTTTGCTTTAAAGATTCAGCTTTTCTCTCTTTCTGCCTCCAGGTGCTTCCGGTCCCCACCCCAGTGCACGAGGTGGATCGTCCTCTGGGCCAGCAGGACTGGTACCATGGAGCCATTCCCAGACTTGAGGTCCAGCAGCTTCTAAAGAATGATGGAGACTTCTTGGTGAGGAAGAGTCAAGAGAAACAGGGTTATGTGCTCTCTGTGCAATGGGATGGATCCTGTAAGCATTTCCTCATTCAGAACCTGGATGTAAGTTAATCTGCTCAATAGAACAAAACACTTTTGCACAAGACAGTTATTTAAACAACTGAACAATTTAAAAAGCTATTTTGTGAGATGAAATGTATGTTTTGAAATATTTCTCCTTCCTGTGTGTTTGCACATCAGTTTACTTCTGCAAATGCTTTTTCCATGTGTCAGTAGAATCTGTACCGTCTGGATGGAGAAAGCTTTCAGAGTATCCCGATGCTGATCTATCATCTACTATCATCACGACAACACATCACCAAGAAGTCAGACATAGTGCTAAAGAAACCTGTACTGAAGGTACTTACACGCACAAACACGCACACTCCAGACTAACATGTTAGAAAGTGTAATTCACACACTTTCTAAAATGTGTCCCAGAGCTTAAATGCACTATTTTAACATATTAACTACTATTAAAGTTCTCCAATAGTTATCACAGACGAGTACATGCAGATCCCAAACATACTCTCTTATGATCTTTCCTTAAAATGCTCTTACCTTACCTTTTCTCTCCCTCTTGCTGGTCTCACAGTTTTTAAAGCAGCACCACTATGTTATCACTCTTATTGTTCATTTTTAATCCCATTAGGACAGGTGGGTCCTTGAACATGATGATATTATCTTGGGCCATCTCATTGGACGGGTAAGTGAACTTAAAATCTTGTGTCCATGTTGTCTGTCTCTGACTAAGATATCTTAAAATGTTGTGAACACACTTGCATGAAATCTAGTGGGAAGTTTGGTCAAAGGGCAAAGAAGACCTGCTTATTGAGTTACTTGTATTTACTTTTATTGCCAGTGAGTCGACATAACAAGAGGCTAGCTCTTCTTTGTTGGTTTAATTGAACAACATGAGAGCTCTGGAGACCTTATTGCCAGTTTAAAGAATATGTTCACACTTTTGTAAGTCTGTCTCACATGCGCACATTGATATTAAAAGGGTTTTTGTTCACCACAATGGTTTGTCTTCTCCATAATGGCTGAAAAGAGATTTCAATGTAAGTTTCAAGCAAAAATTTGTTCTAAAGTGCTAAAACTAATGACGCTTCAGCAGTGTGAATTAGTGAAGTTGAAATCACATTATGGGCAGGAGGAACAGTTACGGTATCAGTACCAGTTACAGTAATAACTATTTTAGTGTACATGTGAGCATGTGAATATTGTATTGAAATAGGCTGGAAAAAATGCAAACCTGACCTGCTAATTTAACCAGAACATTGGTTGAAGTAATTTTTAAAGGCCACTTGCGTAACATTTATGAGCGTCTATTGGCAGAAATTGAATATAATATTCGAAGATATGTTTTCATTGTTGTATCACCTGAAAATAAGAATTGTTCTGTTTTTGTTAACTTAGACTGAGCTGTTTTTATTAACATGGGTAGCAGGTTCTCCTCCAAGGAATCCTTATACACTGGTCCTTTAGCAAGCACAGTGCTGTTTTGCCTTGTGGTGTTTCAATATTTACTGTTTCATTTAAAATGTTCTTAAACTGCGCACATATAATAACAGTTCATCAAGGAAATTGTTTACTCTGGATTCGATATTCTAAAATAGAAAAGAGGGTTACTGTTACTGTTACTGTAACTGTAACTGTTCACACTTCACAGGGTAACTTTGGAGAAGTGTACAATGGTCACTTACGCTCTGATAACACTCCTGTAGCAGTAAAATCCTGTAAAGAGAACCTGGCCCCGGAGCACAAGAGTAAGTTCCTGATGGAAGCCAGGTTAGTATGCACACACACACACAC